TTTGTTGTTGCTGTTGTTTGTTTGTTTGTTTGTTTTCCCTTCTTTCTTTCCTCTATCCCCCATCCCAATCTTTCTTTCTTTCTTTCTCTTCTTTCTTTTCGTACCACAGATCAAACTTAGGACCAGCTTGCCACGCTGGTGCTGATACCACAGAGCTATCTCCCCAGCCCAGTTTCTCTTTCCTTTTTTTTTTTGGAACTGGGGATTGAACTCAGGACCCTGCATTTGCCAGGCAAGTGCTTCTTCTACTGAGCTATCTCCCTGGCGACAATTTATTATAAGGGATTTCTCAGTAGATATTAAATGGTACTGAGGCTAATAAAGCCAATGAATGTGATGAATGGATTTCATAAAAACATGCTAGAGGCTCACTCTGTACTGCTTATGCACTGACCAGGGCAGGCCTCCACACAGAAACATAGACATTCTCTCAGAGGCAGACATAATCAACAGTTACAGAAGGAAACTCTAAGTCAGAGAGCGATGGAGAGAGAAACCAGGGTCTAAGGTCCCAAACTCCAAGTTGAAAAACTACAGGGATAGCTGGTGTGGTGGTACACCCCTGTAAATCCCAGCACTCAGGAGGCTGAGGCAGGATGCTCACTGCAAGTTGGAGACCAGCCTGGGCTACAAAGTGAGCTCAAGACCAGCCTGAACTGCACGGTGAGACCCTGTCTCAAAAAGACAAAAGAAATGAATAAAAATTTTAAAAATACAGGAATGACAGAACGTAGAAGACAAGATCACATGACATCCTCAGGACACATCAGATAAATCCAGAAACTCAGGCATCTATAAGATACCTGTCCAAGATTCCTAAAAATGTCAAAATAGTTAAAAACAAAAAGAGACTCCTAAATTTAAAAAAGTGAACAAGGGCTGGGCATATAGCTCAGGGATAGATCATGTGCTTGTGCAAGATCCTGAGTTCTACCTCTAGCATTAAAAAAAAAAGTGTGGTGGGGGATGGCTCAGTGGAATAAGTGCTTCCCTGGCAAGCGCAAGGGCCTGAGTTCAATCCCCAGTTCCACCAAAAAAAAAAAAAAAAGAGAGAGAGGAAAAAAAAAAGTTAACAGACAAGAGCTGGATATGAGGGCTGGCGAGATGGCTCAGTGGTCTAAAGCACCTACTTGGAACAAGCTTGGCAAAGCACAGGGACTGCGGTTCAATCCCCCAGCACCACATGCC